CTCTCTCTTCCCTTCCCTTTCCTTCTCCTCCTCTCTCTCTCTCTCTCTCTCTTTTCGGATCATATTCGATATGAAATTTCCAATTAAAAATTTTCAAATTAATTAAAATGATATTAATTATTTTTTATTTTAACTTTTTTTTTGTTTGTTTAAGGTTTCATTTCTTTGTGATATTTTAAGAAACCTTTTTTTTTAAGATTAAATCGATTGATAAATAAATAAACGAATAAAGCGAATGAATTGAATGGAACATAGAGGAAGACGATAGACAGGTAGATTTGTACGGACGGACAGGTAGGTACAGACGGACAGACAGACAGACACACACACACACACACGCACTTACATCCACACACACATTTGTACACAACATAAGACCAGCAGGTCTGTATTCTTACAACCCGTAAAAACTTACAATTCATACCTGTTATTATCACTATAATATTTGTGTCATCATCAGTGTTGACGAATGATGAATCATCCACTCAATGGAATATTAATACTTTTCATGCTATCAGATTATCATCCCTTATCAATATTGCTTTTTATATTAGCATTATCTGATATACTATTGGATCAGTAAAGTAGTATTTATTAATTTCTGATTAATATTTAGTTAAATATTTTAACGAATATTATACTAATATTCCAATAATTTTGTATGAGCATTATAATATAATACTTGTTTGTGATGATATTGTTTTGTTAATTTTCAGTTAATATATAATCAAGTATTCTAATGGATAATATATTATATCGCATAGTAATTTTCTACTAGCACTACTTAATACATCATTATTGTCTTCATTATTATTATCATTTAATTGATTACTGTTATAATTTAATTTAATTCGTATATGTTTGATACATCTTAATTTAATCAATTTATTGAATCGAAATTTCATTTGATCAAATTGATTGATCATAATAATTAAATGACATTTTACAGTAATGATAAAATATGATTTAAAATGGATGAAATTAAAATGGCAACAGCATTATCATCATTATTTTTTTCTTGGTATATAATTATATTATCAATGATCAACGATCAATTATTATCATTTGTTACTATTAATGATATGATTATCGAAGTATTACTATCGCTCTTTCGAATATATTATCATTTTTCCTCATCCATACTACAATTATTACTTTTTAACATAATTCTACAAATGATTTTATTACCTTATGCTAATGGCAAAACAGATATTCCTATTATTAATTCTGGTAATGCTATTTCTAATAAGTATTCATTATTATCATCATCATCTTTATCAGATGATATTTTTGATATACATGAACCGATCAAGAATATTATTGGAGGTAATAAATGGTATTCAATTTTTTTTTTTAATTTTAAATTTGAATTAGAAAAAATTTGTTTCAAAATATATTCGCGCCAAATTCTCTTATCTAACATTTTCTTACCTTATTTTTGTTCTTTTCTAAAATTTCTTCTCAAAAAATATATGATAGAATTTTCTTTTTCTTCTTGCACCCATATATACCAAATACCAAATATATCAAATACCAAATACCAAATAATCTAAGATCAGAGATCAAGTGTAAAATATAAAAGTTTTTTAGTATATAAAAGGAAGAAAAAAGCAATAAATCCAATCAAAAAATGATCTAAGAAATAAAGAATTCGTCCATTTATTTCTTCCAAAATTAAAAATAAAACAAATAAAACAGTTTCAGTTAAATTACTTTGACTAACGAAGTATTTCAGTTAAATTACTTTGACTAACGAAGTATTTCAGTTAAATTACTTTGACTAACGAAGTATTTCAGTTAAATAATTTTGAATTAATACAGATGAAATGTTTCAGTTAAATTAATTTGAATTAATACTAACAAAGTATTTCAGTCAAATGAAGGTTTTAAATTATTTTTAAAGAACTATTCTATTTAAATTATTTTTGAATTAATACTAGAAAGGTATATTTCGGCCAAATAATTTCGAATTTGCTAATAAATTAATGTTTTGATTAAATTGATCTTTCAGGAAGAAATTATTTTCTTT